GTAAAAGAAAAATTCTTCCATTGGTATCAATCCTCCCATCCCCCCACCCTGAGTACACTCCACTATGCCACCTTCATTCTGGACTCTTCTCATAACCATAATACCCAATCATATGTCGCTTTTAAACAGTTCTTTCCCTCATCTGTTTCAACACAGTTTATATAATTTATACAATTTTTCTCCGTCTCACTCCAACCCTGATGTCAGTCCTGTTCTACAACGGTGGTACCATGCAGTATTTGTCCTTTTGTGACTGAGATACTTCACTCAGCATAATGTCCTCCAAGGTCACCCATTTTGAATAATATTGCATGAGTTCCTTCTTTTGGTGAAGAGTACTCAATATGCCATGTACAGGCAAAACAATAAATAAATCTGTTTTGGAGAAAGTCCAACCAGGGTGCTCCTTAGAGGGAAAGATGGTGAAACTTCATCTCACAAAATTTGTGTGTTTTGTCAGGAGAGACTCATTCTTGGGTAAAAACAAACAAACAAACAAACAAACAAAACAAACATCATACTAACTACAGAGGGTAAATGAAAGAGCAAAACCCTCAATGAGATGAACGGACATAGTGACTGTAACAATGGGCTTTAGCATGGCAGAGGTTGTGAGAAGGGGACAGAGTAGGACATAGATTTCCATCTACTGTTCATAGGGTTGTTAATGTTGACTCGATGGTACCTAACAACAACAAAATCCATAGTGTAGAACAAAGAGTATGGAATTGTAGAATCACACTTTAACTCCCAAAACAAATGATTCGAACATGTGAAGATATTAGGACAGCTAGGAAAGTGTTGAAATGATCCTTATTAATTTTGTAAATAAAAATTTATCTTTTCTTAGAAACTATCTCATGCAGTCTTTCTTTCCTTAATTCTCTGAAACTGAGAGTGATGCTATTGAAAGTTAGAAAACATTTGTATCTTGTTAAAAATGTTTGCATTTTACAATTTCAAAGCTAAAAGTTATTGAAAGATCAATAGATACATAATCACAGGAAAGGGAAAAAATAGAGAAAAAGACACTTTTCAAGCTTATCAACCACTTTATTTTTTGCATGTCGTTTATTTCAAATGTGGGAACTTTAGTTTTTGTCAAATGTGAAGAGATTAACTTTGTGAATTGGCAGAGCCTGGTAATGAAATGAATAATTTAGGATTAAAAGAATTGATGAGAAGATGAGTGAGAAGCCGATGCTTCCAAATTTATTTGCCTTCTTCTCTCCAACCCTCAGCCAGGTGAACTGACCCCATGACTGCTGCAAGGGGCTGTTCTTCTTCAGGAAATGGAAGGATGGTACAAGGTAGGTCTGTGTTCAGATCTTTTGATGAGTTGTACTCGACAGCACCTAACAACAATAATTTTTCTACAAAAAAGGAGGCCTGGTGCTGCGACTGTCAAACATTTTGCTGTTAACGGAAAGGCTGAGAGTTCTAATCCCACAAGAAGACTTGGTGATAATCTCCCATAAAAACTACAGCCTAGAATACCCTATAGGAGAATACCCTATAGGACAGTTCTACTTTATCGCAAAGGGTTTCTATCAGTCAAAGCAGACTCAATAAGACCAATGGCTTATAATAACCTCTCCATAGAGGTGTCTTAGGTTGAAGGAGAAGAGCGACGGTTGAGATAACTCTGTCCTACATTCATGTAGCCCTGGTGTGTTTAACTATTTGCCCAGTAGTTGTATAGGATGATATATTGGTTCAGGTTTGTGATAGGGGTTTTCTGACCTTCTATAGACTATTTCTATTGTCTGATGAACTTTGTTTTTCCATGTCTAAATCCAAAATTACAGAAATTAAAGCCAGAATTTTAAGTTCCAGAAGAAAAAAAAATATGGTTTCTAATGCTAAGCAGGGTTCCTGACGACAGGAGAGCTGTGTAAATTTTCTGGAATCCAAGACAGTGACTCTCAGCTAGAGCTCACTCGAGCTTTGTAACCATGGTTTTCCATGGTGCAACAATATAGAAATAGAACATTTATTTAAAAAATAGAACCTGAAAAATATGCCACTGCAGCTTCTACTTGCAGTGAAAACTGTCCCAAGACATTCGAAGCACAAACCCATGTAATCTGGTGAACGAACCCCACAAGTAATGATGTCTCCTGGTGATGGCTGTTTGCTTCCTGCTGGCCCCAGGGAACTCTCCTGGAGGTTCAGACACTCACCCCCAGGAATGATGAGCATCAATCCTTGGAGAACTGTTCTCAGGTGTTAAGTCTCTCCCTTTACGGCAAGGGAGTATCTAAAGGCCCTGAGAACTTTCTTTCTACTAGCCAGCTCCACACTGGACAGCAATCAGTTGTCTTTTCATCCTAACCTTGACTTGTAAATGCTTGTAACTCATAGATTCCTGCTATCTGCATTTTTCTATTAAGCCATATATTTTTCAGAGGTAACTGAGATTTGGAAAAAGGTCTCAATAGTTATGCATGGAAACCAGATGAAGACTAACTAACATGGATCTTCAAATGATTAACACTTGACCATTCACCTCAGTGCTGGTCATTCAGACCAAAACCTTCATGCCATTACAGAAATTCCTGGCTATTTTCTTCTGTGAAGAGCACAACCAGGTAAATTCACTTTTACTTTGAAACATGTGGGGTTGCTATGTGTCAGAATCAACTCAACAGTCATGGGATTAGTTTGTTGTTAAAGGGCCAAGAATATTAAGTTGGGAAGTTCCCTGGTATCTAAATGTCTGTCCTTTTTGTTTTTATTTCAAAGCTCTCTGGCTAATCCGAAAGAATCATGACCTCCTACAATGAAAGGGAATCTTGACTAATGTCATAAAGAATGCGTCTCTGCTGCTCATGAACTATGCTGGCTTGTCTACATTCTTAAATTCAGCCAAATCATGATCCACAGAGAGACTGTTTATAAAGTCTCACAGAGCATATTCACAGGTATTTCCAGATTATACATACCAGAGTCACACAAGATTCCCTATGAAGAAAAAAAACACAGATGTCTAATGTAAAACTTATTTTATACATAAAACTTATTTTGTACAACTCCGTTCCTTTTCCTTTCTGAGCAGTTGAAGCACAACTTTGCATCAAGCCTCGGTAAATACCTGCATTGTAGATTTCCTTTATTTAAAAATGGTATATTTTTGATAACAAAATAAATTTTGAGTTTACCTTTAAATTGTACCTAATAGTAAAGCATTGTGTAATGTGATTAATTTGCTTTACTTCCAGCAAAATGCACCTTTTAGGCCACTTTATCTATTCTATTATAGAATTTCTTTTTCACAAATGATTACTTGTTGCTTAGTAATGGAGTAAAGGTCCTTAGACAAGCTGCATTCCGAGTATATTTTCCAATTAGATAGTAGTGACATTATGCTTTCTTTTACTGTTACAATGTTAATGTTAGAATTTTGCCCAATTATTTAGCTATTTGTTGCTGTCAACAGACATAGATAACAGAGGAAAAAGGAAACAGAGGAAAGGGAAACTTTTATCTTCGTTTTAAAATAAATAAAGAATGCTTCACAGGGATACTCTTACATTCTGTATCTTGATGGGTAATTTGCATGACAGAAGAATGACCTATGATAACTTTATAAACCAATATGTGTTCTCTGCATGACTGCAATCTCACTGAGGTCATAGGGAATGGAAGTACATGTTCCCTGTCCACAGAGAGCTGTGGTAGTCCTAAAATGCAATCTTATATAGTGAGAGAAATAATAGATACAGGAACAGAATACCTACATTGAAGCATAGTATATCTATGTGTCTTAGACGGTATCCTAAACAGAGGTGAGCCTCAGTTCCTACATTTGAAGAGAAATAGTTATCTTTGTCTTCTCTACTTTAATGGATGCTAATTAAGTGAAATAATATATGTGAGAATATTTTACAATCACAAGTACATTATTAGGCTTATCTTGTACAAAAGAATAGTAAGCAGTTCCAAGTTACCTGCTGGTGTAGTCTTAAACAAATTATACTTCTAACCCAAAGGTGGGTCCTCTGTAGATGTCCAAATCTATCAGTACCTCTGAAAGAGGAAGATAGAAATCTTTTGTGATTTATAGTCTACCAAACACCCCCTGCAAAGTTAGCTATAAGTAGATTCCAACTGGAGTGTTTGAGAAGCTCCCTGCATGTACAATGACACTTCTGAAATGGGATGTATGAAATAATTTTACTCAAATATAACATTTGACCATTTAAAAGATTTTATCAATGATTTTTATGATGCTGCTATCATTATATCCTCTACTTAAAGAAAACTAGTCTTAGGGATGTTAATTCCCTGCACAAAATAAGTTAGTGAATGCTAGAACTTCTGTAGGAATACACAACATTTGATTATAAAACGTACATGCTTTTTCTTGGCTAAGACAAGACAGTGGCAAAGAAACACATAGGAGCGTGCATATAAATAAGCAAAGATTGCAAGTAGATTAATCACACAAAATTTTCAACCTACCACGCATTGAGTCTTTGTGTGGTACAAAGATGTAATGTGCTCTGTTGCTAACTTTGGAGCCTATTCCTTGGAGAGAGACACCGTGCTTGGAAAGATGGAGAGTCGGAGAAAGAGAAAGATCCTCAACCAGAAGCATTGACACAATGACTGTTACAATGGGCTCGAGTATGTCAGATATAGTGAGGATGCTGAAGGGTAAAACAGCGTTCATATTTGTTGTTTATAGGGTCGCAATGAGTCTCACTCAACTTGATGGTGTCTAACAGCCTCTAACCTAGGAGGTTAGAATCCACTCACACTCAGAGATGCCTTGAGAGAATACTGTTGATCCTTCTGAAAACTCAGTCATTGGAACCTCTATGGAACAGAGTCCTGCCTAGGGATTCAGAATCTCTATGAGTCAGAATTGATTTAACAATGGCTGTTTTGGGTTTGTTTTATGTTTTTGTTTTTGTTTTTAATCACATGGCAGGTTCATTCATCTAATATTTTTACATTTTTAATATTTTTCTTTCTTAGACACCATATATCATTTAATGAAGACAGAGAATCACACTATGGTGAGTGAGTTTATTTTCCAAGGTTTCTCCAATTTCCACGAGCATCAGTTCACCCTCTTTGTTATATTCCTTGCACTCTACATATTAACCTTGGCAGGCAATGTCATCATTGTGATCATCATTAGCCTTGACCATCACCTTCACACCCCCATGTACTTCTTCCTCAGCATGTTGTCAGCTTCAGAAACCATGTACACATTGGTAATTATACCAAGGATGCTCTTTAGCCTCATAGGCCTCAGTCAACCCATTTCCTTGGCGGGCTGTGCTACCCAGATGTTCTTCTTCATCACGTTGGCCATCAACAACTGCTTCCTCCTCACAGCTATGGGGTATGACCGCTATGTAGCTATTTGCAATCCGTTGAGGTACTCTGTTATCATGAACAAGAAGGTGTGCATCCAGTTAGTGTGGGGGGCCTGCAGTATTGGTTTAATTGTCGCAATTACCCAGGTGTTATCTGTGTTTAGGTTGCCCTTCTGTTCCACAAGGGTAGCTCATTTCTTCTGTGACATCCGACCTGTGATGAAGCTCTCCTGCATTGACACCACCATCAATGAGATCCTGACTTTAATCATCAGTGTTCTGGTAATCCTAGTTCCTATGGGCTTGGTTTTTATTTCCTATATCCTCATCATCTCTACCATTCTTAAGATTGCCTCTTCTGAGGGCAGAAAGAAGGCCTTTGCCACCTGTGCTTCTCATATCACTGTGGTCATTGTCCACTATGGCTGCGCCTCCATTGCCTACCTCAAGCCCAAGTCAGAGAACACCAGGGATCAGGATCAGTTGATCTCAGTCACCTACACTGTCATCACGCCTTTACTGAACCCTGTGGTGTACACCCTTAGAAACAAAGAGGTGAAAGATGCTCTGTGCAGGGCTATTGGAAAAAAACTCTCCTAATGAGATTGACCTATTCTTATGAGGGTCTTAGAAGATCTTGGCAGGAAACACAGAGCAGAGCCCATACTCACTGTAAAAAGACTCCAGAGTCCATTAAATAGTGGTGGTCCGAGGAGAGGAGACAAAGAACTACAAATCCAGCCATTTGAGAAATTGAAAAGGTTTTCTAAAACTCAAGCCTGAATCTTGAAAGAGCACAGGGATGATACTGAAAGCCAAGCATAAGAGAAATAACTTGACGGTGTTGGGAGGTGCAGGGCTAAGATAGAATAAATCAAAATAGCAGACAGAATCAATGACATGAGATTGTTTGGGACAAGTTAAAGCTTTGAAATATATTTCTGACACCTTTATTTGCAAGTGGGGTTTCTTCTTATCCATCTAGAGCAATATATATTTAACTCCTAATGGAAGTGGTTCTATTTGTATCTTAGATATCATAAAATGAATATTAGAAACAATAAGCTCATTGTGGTCAATTCACGTGACCCTACAAGACAGAATATATTTTCCCCATAGAGTTTTCAAGGCTGTTATCCTGTGGAAGTTGACTACTTATTATTCACTTATTTACCTACAAGTAGTTGGTGAGTTTGGACAGCCAACTCTGCGTTAGCAACTGAGCTGCTTAACTGCTGTTCCACTCAGACTCCTTTAAGAATCAATAAAATTCAGAAGTGCATATAATTTGGATCTTTTCCATATAAATCCCAAGTTGGAAACATGGGGAAATAAAAACCTAAATTTTCAGGATTGTTTTTGTTCTAAGGTGTCATCAAGTCAAGTACAACCCATAGCAACCCTATGAAAAGATCTGAACCCTGTCCTGTCCTGTGCCACCCTCACATTTCCTGGCACACTTGACCCCATTGAAGCAGTCACCATGTCAATCTACCTGGTTGAATGTCTTCCTCTCCTTCACTGACACTCTGATTTTTTGAGTATCATGTTCCTCTCTAAGGAATAGCCTCTTCTAGTAATATGCCCAAAGCATGTAAAGTGAAGCCTTATAATCTTTGGCCCCAAAGAGCACTCTAGCTACACTTTCTCCAAGACGGATATGTTTGTTCTATTAGTAGTCCATGGGATGTTCAGTGCTCTTCTCCAACACCACAGCTCAAAGGCACCAATTCTTCTTCTGCCAACCTTATTCATTGTTTAGCTCTCAGATGCATAGCAAAGGATTGGAAGGACTATGGCCTGAATAAGATGCACCTTAGTCCTCAAATTAACATCATGCCTCCTCAATAATTTGGAGAAGCCCTTAACTGTAGAATTTTCCAATACAATATGTTTCTTGGAAATTTTCAGAATTAGGTAAGAGAAATATCTTTTGAAAATTACCTGAGTCTTTTTGGGACCTAGTAAAAGAAAGGGATGACACCAAGCAAACATATTGACATTTTAGGATTAGAATGAAACAAAAGTTTTTGGTGATCTTCTCTGAATATCATGAACAAAAGAAAAAGGACCTGGGATAACCTTTGGAGATGCTTGCAGAATAGATACAAGTGACTAGTGCAGGGAAATTAAAGTGGCAATGCAGAGGAAGGGCAGTATGAAGAGAACTGAGAGGAGGATTTGGAATGACTAAAGAAAATCTGTCTCTATCTCTAGGACTCCTTTTCCTTATAGCTTGTCCTCTGGCTCTACACAGCCTATGATAGAACAGTTCCTTGTGATTTGCATATTTGACTCTTTTATTTGACTTTTATTTCACATATTTTTTTTAAAAAAATTAATTTCTTATTGCACATTTCATGCTCATGCATTTCTCCAGCCTTTCCCACTTAGTCATAAAGATGAAATCATTGTCTCTACTCTCTAACTACGGCATTCTGGGAGTGCAGTTCATATGCATTGCACTGTTCACCCCAAGGCCACACCACTCTGAGGGTTCAGATCCACCAACAGCTCCAAAAGAGAAAGACACCCTCTCCTCCTGTGTGATATACATACAGCCTCAGAAACCCAGTGGAGGGTCATCTATGAGTTTATTACAACTTGAAAGCTATGAGTTGACTCCCTAACTCCATCCCTTATACATTCCTCTGTTATTGTAGTGAATATTTTCCATGATGCCTGGTAGATAAAAGCATGAATAAACAATGAGAAAAGCTCTATCTATGTGACATCTTAGCTAGGTGCTTAGTTATATTCAGCACTTTTCATACCTATCAAGTGATATGTGTTCAGAACACAATCTCTTTTTTATGTTAACTTCACAAATTAGGACTATGTCCTAATAACTTCTTAAAAAGTCCATTATGGTTCAGTCCTACACAAATCCAAGAACATTTTTTGGAGGAGGCGGGGATTTATAGTAATATAAAGAAAATCTCACATGATGGGTTCTGCATTTGCCAATAGTCATTTCACCTTTACTCAGCTAGTAAAGCTTCTTGATTTTTCTGTAAGACTATAGCCTTGAAAATAACATCTTGATCCTTCAACTTTATCTATAATAGATAAACCATATCAGGGCACTGAGTTACTTAAAATATTAAAAAATTGAAAAAAAAATTGTCTCCACTCAACTCTTGATTCCGGTCAGGTTTTTCAGGTTGTAAATTTATTCTTTATTGATTTTCATACTATCATATAAATTATGTTTAGTTCATGTATGTTGTTTCATACACTCATTCGTGTACAATGTGTTTCATATAATTAGTATTGATCAATGTCTTTTATCACTCTGTTGTTGCTTGCTGTAGATTTGGAACCAACCCATACCTGACCCTCTAGTCGGTTTTTAGAGGCAGTAAATGTCATAGGAGGAGATTGCCCTTCCTTCTCCCATGGAGCGACTGGTGGATTTTGAACTGCATGCCTTTGGAATTTCAACTCAATGTCTTACCTATCTCATGGCCTTACCCATTCCTTCTCACACACATACCCCACCTCCCGAATCCACTAACCTCTGATTCCTGGTGGTTGGTTCCCCCCACTCTCTGACTCATCTTTCTCCTGCAGCTGTTTGAACTGCCTACCTTCTTTTGGTTAACTTTCCAACATTTAGCATACCACCTTGGGTAGCAATTTGGAATTCAGCAGAGTGAAGTAGAAAGATCATAAATTTTGGAAGACATAAATTCCATTTTGAATCCTGGTTATACTGTCTTATTCATCATATTCAGCTTAATGAGTTATTTAATTTCTATGAGTCTTGCTTTCCTCATTTATAAAGTCTATACCCAGATACTCTGGTGATAAATACAAGATACTATGAGTATAAAACTACTTTAAAAATCACAAAATAAGGAAATATATTTTTATCTGAAATAAAATAGTTACAATCTCTATAAAGTTCTATCAATCATACACTATAAACACAGAGACTTCAATCTTAATAAATTTTAAGATATTTTAGGAGGTGCTTCTGTTTCTGAGTTTGGTTTTCCTGACTACCATAAGTCTCATTTTTACTCTTAATTCACAATCTCTTTTGTCAGAAGCTCTTAAGGATAAGGAAGGGAGTTCTTTTATGTATATTTCTCCACAGATATCTTAGTCAGTTAGCATAAAAAAGTGAGTTCCTTAATAGCAGAAATTATTTTCTTGGTTTCCCATATACAGAGGATACACTAATTGAACTTTTTTGTTGGGAAGAGTACAAAATCATTTTAAAAAATAAAGAGAGAGAGAGAAACTTGAGGAGACATTCCTTTTCTCTAAAATAAATAATCTTTTATCTGTAAAATGGGCTTACTAAGCAATGATGTCATTTTAGAGACTAAGGTTAACCTAATCTGGGCCATAGTCTTCACAATTACTTGTTATGCATCAGAGAGATGGACAATGATGAAGAATAACATAAGAAGAAAAATTGATGCCTTCAAATTGTGGTGGTAGAGAAGAGGCTTGAACATACCATAGACAGCCAAGAAAACAAATAGGTCTGTCTTGGACAGGGTGAAACCAAGTTTCTCCTTGGAGGCTAGAATTTTAAATTTCCATCTCATATATTCTGGGCACAAGACTAGGGGAGACTAGTCCTTGGAGAAAGATAGCATACTCAGAAGGGTGAATGAACAGCACAGGAGAGGAAGATCCCAGATGAGGTGGATTGATACAGTAACTAGGGCAATGGGGATTGGTATGACAGAATTAGTGAGACTGGCTCAGGACAGGGCAGGCTTCAGAGCTGCTGTAAAAGGGTTACTATGGATTAAAAAATGTATTGCGATGGTAAAGTCTGCTGTTAGGAACCTCTCCAAAGTACTGAAGAGCAATGGTGTCACCCTGGAGACTAAGGTGCTTCTGATACAGGCCATGGTCTTCGCAATCACTTGTTATGCATCAGAGGGTTGGACAATGACTAGGAAGGATATAGGGAGAATTGATGTCTTTGAGGTGTGGTGCTGGAGAAGAGTATTGAGGGTACTGTGGACTGCTAGGAAAACAGATTCAATGTGGAACGGGTTAAACCAGGCTGCTCCTTGGAGGCAAGGATTCTGGGGCTTCATCTGACATACTTTGAACATGTTGTAAGGAGGGTTACGTCCTTGGAGGGGGACATCATGCTTGGGAGGGTGGAGGAACGGCACAAGAGGGGAAGAACCTCTATGAGATGGATTAACTCAGTTACTGGGGTAATCGGGATGGGTAATCGGGATGGGCGTGTCACAGGCACAGGACAGATCAGGGTTTAGGGCTGTTGTACATAGGTTCCCTATGAGTCATAAGCGACTGGATGACACATAACAACAAAAACATGGGTCAAAGGCAGTTTGATGGCACATAAGAACAACAACGATTCCTATTCACCTTTCCTGCTTTGCTATTAAAACCTACTACATTAGAATAAATATGGTAGATACTGTTAAGATAACTGCAGAGATTGTCACTAAATATAATATTTATTATCATTATAATTTTTAATAACTCAATCCCTATGTTCTTATCTCTCTAATTAATCTTAGCCATTTTATATTATTTTACTAATTAACATTTGACTCCAATTTTCCTCCCACAGACTCTTAAATTCTTATTGATACTGC